CACCCCCCGCCCCTCCCCGCCCCACCCCGCCCGCAGCGCCGCGAGCTTTCGTTTCCCACCCAAAGGAAAGTGAAACTCAGCGCGCTGGCTCGTGCGCGTGCACAGGGACCCGAGGCGCGGGCGAGCCGCCGGTGCGTCTGCTCTGTGCAGTTGAGCGTTTAAAAACCCGGACTGTGTTCTCCATCTATGCCCTGGTCTATGAGTCCAGGAAAACCAGCTCCTTTCTGTTTGACATTTTAAGATTTCCGCAGTTGGGAGATTAAAATCATTTGGCATTTCAGTTACATACGTAGAGCTTTTCTGTCCTTTCCTTCCCTCCTCCTTCCTTCCCTCCTTCTTAGTGCTATTCTATCATTTCTTATTTTCTTTTTTTTGTTTTTTTTGGTACCGGGGATCGAACTCAGGACCTTGCGCTCGCGAGGCAGGCGGCGGAACCACTGAGCTAAATCCCCGGCCCCGTGCTATTCTATAATTTCTTTTTTTATTATTATTCTATAATTTCTTAATCGTGCTGTAGGTCCGACGAAACAGGGTCGAGTATGCGGTTATTCCGAAGTCCCCCTGCTCTGCCCAGCCACGTGGGCGGTGCTAGAGCGCAAGGAAAAGAAAAGTGAATCCAGCGCGATTCTCGATTCTCGCAGGTTTGTCCTGAGGATCTGCCTTTCAGATCTCAAGCTTACTGGGTCCCTGCCATTCGCCAGGCTTCTCCATTAAGCTCTAAGCCTCTGAAGGCTCTATTTTTAATTCCAATTTTATAGGAGAGAATATTAAATTTCAAACAGGTTAAATGACCGGCCCAAAGTGACCAGACTGTGAGGGGTGAAGCCAAAATTCTAAAGGGGATCTGATTCCAGAAAGTTCCGTTTTAACCCCCTTGCTATCAAGCCTGACTTCAGTATCATCCCTTCATGTAAAATAATAGATCGTTGTAATTAGGAGTCCCCTAGGTGGGCATGAAGATACAGATAAAGTTAACGGACCTACGCATGCACCCCTGAAACTTGCTGTGTCAATGCAGATGTATTCCATGTATGCAGACTCACGGAGGCGGACAGAAGGGCTTTGCAGGGTCCTCAGACTCCAGCTGCTGTAAATTTGTGCAGGGAATCAGAATGCGATCTCCTCACAGGTGCGCGTTACGGTGTTTCTGACAAGCGTCCACTCAGCGCTGGACAAATGTGAGAGTGAATGCCCCCCTCCCAAAGTGGCCAGGACTTTTCTGAGTGCCGGTAAGGTCTGCAGTTAAAGGTATGTATTCTGTTCATAATCTCACAACCCGGAGATATACATATGTGTCCGTCAAATGTGCGAACAGTGTGCGTGTTGAAAGTGTGAGCAGACGCCCGTAAACTAAGAGTCCTCTTTCCGTCTGTGGAAATAGAGGGCAGTGGAGCACGCACAGCGTTTGCCTCTGGAACTCTGGTTGTGTGTGTACAGCACGATGCTCACATGGTACACAGCAGTGAACACAGAGCAGCCCCTCAGTTCTGTTGCTGACCAATCAGTTCTTTCACCAGCTTCATATTTGCTAAGCCTTGTCCATTAAAAGGAAACTCAAAAACTCTGCGGTGAAAGGAATGAAGAGAGGCTGTTGCCAGATTTGATCGTTTGCTAACCATTTCAAGCCTGTAGAGTTCTAGCGAACAACTGGTAGCTACTCCCAGTGACTTTTTTCCTTTTTAAAATTTTATTGGTGCATTTTAGATTTACCTATTAATCCCATTCATCATAGGGAATTTGTACCTGTACATGATATATCTTGATTCTTTATTTCTCATTCCCCTACCCTCCCTTCAACTCTTCTTCCCCTTCTTATTTACAAAAGCTTTGTTTCCATTGTTTTCTATTCTCTTTTTTTGTCCCTTCTTTCCTTTCCCCCTCTCCCCTCCCTTGTTCCTCTTCTCATATGAACATTTTCTTCCCATTTGCCAATATCTGTTACACATTTTGGTCTTTATTTACACTTTCAGGTTTTCACACCAGAGAAACAATGTGTGTCCAATTTATTTCACTTAAGAGTATGGTCCCAAGGTCCATCCATTTAACTATAAGTGTGTGAAGCGCATCCTTCTTTATGGCAGAGTAGTACTCCATTGTATAAAAAAATCCCACATCTTCTTTATCTGTTCATCAGTTGATGGACATTTGGGCTGTTTCCAAGCTTTAGCTATTACAAACTGTGCCGCTATAAACATGGTGTGCATATATCGCTGTGGTAGGATGCTTTTAATTCTTTCATTCCCAGTGATTATTAAAGGTCAACTCAATTAATTCTCTTTGAATCTTGGTAGTTCACTGGAATGAAGTAACTGGCATTACATAGATGAATCTTGGGAACAGGGGCTGAGCTACATGGTCCATTTCCATTATCATGGGGTTCTTCCTCTTCCCCTTCCCCTTCCTTCCCTTGGCCTCCTGCACAATTCAGTGCCAAACCCCTCAGGTGGCTCAGGGCAGGGTGCTAGACCCCAAGCAGGGTGAGGAAGGCGTCACAACAGAGGAACCGCCCGGCACTGGTGTCCAAATCTGCGTGAAGCGGGCAGATGGACCTGGGTGGAACCCAGTAGAACCCGGGTGATTGAGGGTGTGCCGAGTGGTGGGTACATTGTGAAGGATGCTGGAGCACAGACACTGGAGTGGAGTGTGTCCATGTAGGGAGGGATGCTGGTAGAGATGGGAGATGGGTTATACGCAGGGGGCTGATAAAATGATAAATCTATTAAGGGTAACTGGCCCCAGGTTTAAAACTGTCAGGGAAAGGAGTTACAGGTAGACAATGAGTGAATGAGCCCTGAGGGATGGAACTAGAACGAGAGACGTCAGTGTGGATCGCTGACCTTCATGTGTGTACACAGATGCTAACGAGGGAACTACAGAGGGGCAGGTGTGTGTGCCTGCATGCATCCCCTAACTCGGTCCGCCACCGGGAGGGTCTGTGACCAGTGATGCCCACAGGCACGTCCAGCCCCGGACCCTAGCTTCCCTCTGCTGTTCTCTAATGAAAGGGACCAGAGTTGCTGAGAGAAGCAGCTGTTTCCAGGTGAGAGCAAAGGAAGCACGAGGTGAGCCTGGGATGTCTGCACCCGCCTGAACACAAGGAGCTGTCCCAGCAGTGATGGGGACGCGTCCAGAGGGCGCCAAACAGTGTGAAGGAGCTCCCTTTGGCCCACTCGGAAACACTCTGAGCATCAAAAGGAAATGGGGGTAATAACGTTGCAACCCGTTAAGTAAAAAGGTGAATAAACTAAAAGTCTGATGAGGAATAGGGTATTTATATAGTTTCAAAATACTTTCCCACAAAATATATAGTATTACTTATAAGTAATAGGATATATGTAACATTACATTATATCTACAAATACTGTAATTAATGTAAATACCAGTGACAGAGGGGGAAAGAAATACCTGTCCAGTAGCTGTGGGTAGCAGTGGGAATTGTAGTCTGTAATGGGACAGTTGCAGTCGTATGCCATCTGCTGGGATGTAAGGAAAAGGACACAAGCCTCTTTGTGAAATCTCTGCCATAGATGCTGGCCTGCACCTATTTATGAGGAGGCATTGGGGTGACCTGGACTGACAGACATTCTACAAAACAGGCCCCCTGTAACCTTCCAAAATGTCAGGATCATGAAAATCAAAGAAAAGTTTGAAGAACTGTTCCCCACCGGCAGGGGCCACAGGGATCACTATAAGCAACACGAGGTCCCCAACTGGATCCTTCGCTGTGAAAGACAATATGGAGACATCTGTGGCGACCATTAGGTGGTGAGTAATTTCACCCTAAGGTAATGGGGGAAATGAGACATCTCATGGAAAACTTAGCCTCAAATGATTCAAGAAAAAAGTTCTTGAGCTACATTTATAGTCGGGTATTTTTTTCTGAAGAGTATTTACAAGAATGTGCTTTTTAAAAACATTGGTTAAAAGATTTCTCAATACTAGCCAAGAGTTTACATTGAGAGTGCATAATGCTTGCTTCAAAGGGAAATTGGGGCCCTGAGAAGTATTTTCTGTAACTTGTACCATGTTTTTGCCTATTTTGATATTTTTAGTGTCACTGAAATTCTCATCAGCTGAATTTCTTACTCCTTTTTAAAAATCTGAAGTATGAGATAAGAGGCCACGTCTAACCACTTCGCTTGAAAATTCTGCCTAAAAACTTGGTCACAGAGGAAGATGCTGCCTGACTTTATGAAATAGTCTAGTTCTCCCTGGAAGGAGGTGGAAAGCTACTTTACAGAAAAGCTATTTCCCTGAGGCAAGGAATAATTTATAGCAATTCTAATGAAAAGGGCAGGGCTTGCTGTATATGGTAGGAGTACAGCATGGTTAAAAAAAAAAAAAAGAGGGCCAGGGATTTAGCTCAGTGGTTCCGGCGCCTGCCTTGCAAGTGCAAGGTCCCGAGTTTGATCCCCGGTACCAAAAAAAAAAAGAAAAAGAAATAATCAATGATTGATAGTTGTAGTGCTTCCTTACAAAACTCATTTCTCTGCTGACATGTGTGGCTCCATGTGACTTGCTCATTCCCTCTCCACAGTTCTATTTTCTTCCCTGTGTTTTGTCTAGATTTGTGTGTGTGTGTGCGTACTTTAAATTTTACTATACTGTGCGTGGTTCCAAGAATAAATCATAAGTTTGTTTTTAAAGGGTACAAATCAAATCCCCTTCACAGTATTCATTCAGGTAAATACATTACCCTAAGAGGGGGAGGGAGGTGTTAAGTCAAAGCAGCCAAAGGGAACCTTAAGTTTCACTTTCCTGGCATACGCTCAGGGGACATCAAAACAGACTGCGCTATGCTATCTCTCACCTTCCCCCATCATTCTCTTTTCTCTGGCAGTTTCCTGTCTGAATGAATGGGGGGATTTTAAAAATTATTATTAAATACTGTACTTTGGAAAATAAACTTTATACACAGGAAAATTGTTAACGACTCTATACTTTGCACTCATTTTTAACATTTTGGCACACACACACATCTCATACACAAATATGTCTCACATACACACACGCACACATCTACATGTCTCTTTTTTTTTTCTTTTTGCTGGCTTACTTGAGAATAAATTGGAGAGATCAAGATCCTTCTGCCCTAAGTTAGTCAGTATGTATCTCCTAGGATCAAATATATGTTCTTATATAACTCCAGGGTAGTTCTCAACCAAATCTAGGCAATGTGATGTTGATACAGTACAGTGTGCTAAAATATAAAGTCAGTTTTTGAATCTTGCCACTTGTCTCAACACTGTCCTTTACAGCAACTTTTTTTCTCCATGCAGGATCCGCTGCATAATCTATTCACATAGGGTTTTATTATATTCTAAGATCGTTGTAGAGTTAGATGTAGTTGTGAGAAATAGTACAGAGATTCTGTGGACTCTTGGCCTTGTTTTCCCAACAGTAAGATAACATACAGTACATATTGCAACCAGGATATTGATGTTGACACAGCCAAAATACATTTCCTTCAATACAATACTCCCTCTCAGCACCTTTTAGAGCCATACCTGTTTCCTTTCTGCCTCCACCTCTTCCTTAACCCTTGATGACCACTCATCTGATCTCCATTTCTGTAATTTTGTCATTTCAAAAAGTATTATATAAATAGACCCCCAGGTATTAATCTTTGGGTTTAGCATTTTTGTTTCCATGCAGCATAATTCTATGAAGATATACCAAGATAGTTAAATGCAGTAGTACCTCAGCCCACAAATTTAATTCTTTCCACAATTCTGGTCAAAAACCAAACTGGTTGTAAACTGAATCAAATTTCCCCATTAGGTCAACATGAAACCTAATTGTTGAATCTGATTTGATTCACGACCAATTTGGTTTGCAACCAGAATTGTGGAAAGAATTAAGTTTGTGAACCAAGGTACCACTGTATATCAATAGTGTATTCCTTTTTATTGCTGAGTAATATTCCATAAGATGAATATACCACAGTTTAACCATTCAGCTGTTAAAGAATATATGACCTATTTCCATTTTTTGTTCATTACAAATAAAGCTGCTCTTTGAAATGGAGTAGTTTCTCTGTGCAGACATGCTTTTATTTTTATGGAATATAATTTCTGTGTGGTATGTAGGTGCATCTTTAATTCTTTTTAAAAGTTCCAGATTCTTCTCCAGAATGATGGGATGCTTTTACATTTCCACTAGCACTAGCCTTTGGCCCTTCCTGGTGCAGATCCTTGGTATGAACTTGCATGAGACACTGCCTTGGGCTCTAGGCCTTTGGCTGGACTTGTGCAGGACATTGCTGTAGGATCCAGGCCCTCGGCTGGATTATTCAGGTCTCTAGTGTGTGGACAGATCTCTTGTAGTCCTCTCCATTTGACTTTTTGGGTGAATTTTATAAAATAATCCTGTACATTATGTGTCCTGTATTAAATCTATCACCTTGCAAACCCTGATAACAGTGGTGCTTGCCAGACTTCTCCACTATAAAAGTACAGTTTTAACCTTGTAATTAGTAATCTGAAGGGAGATAATGTACTGTGAGACTGAGTAAATATTTTTTAACCCATGAAGACTGCAAAAAAAAAAAAAGCCTCCAGGAGAAATATTCTATTCAAACCCCTGACCTGCCGGGGATTTAGCTCAGTGGTTTGGCCGCCTGCTATGCAAGCTCAAGGACCTGAGTTCAATCCCCGGTACAAAAAAAAAATACCTCAAACCCCTGACCTAACAGACTTGACCAGCTTTTAGCATGGCCTCCAGCATCTGGGGGGACAACCCAGGCCCTTTCTGAGTACCACCTGGAAAAGCTCAGGGCTATAAAAGCTTATATGGTTTGTGCAGCCAGCACCTGATGCAGGCCCCTGACCTCCTGTCTTAGAGCACTTACTAAAGGAAGGATCACTGCTGTGACTTCTTTCCCTGTCACTTTGAGATGTGTGTGTCCACTGAGCACAATACTACGGTTCCCACCATGAGAGAAGAGCAGCCGCCAGTCTGTGTCCAATTTAGTTGTTAACTGAATTGAACACTGCTGGTGGAGTTCATGGCAGCTTGACTCCTGGAAACGTCACCAACCAGTCATGCATGACCAGCAAAGGGGACATGACGTGGCACAGTCAGGTACCCATAACCACTGGTAATTACTGCTCCTTTTCCAGGTAGATAGGTACTCATATGAGAATAGGAGGTGCTGAGATCAATGGCAACTGCAGACCCCTTAGACGAGGCTGCTGAGTGGAAGGCAGACTCAGCTAGCGGAAGGACAAAGCCATCCTGAAAACTGATTCTGTCCTCAGTGAGCTTTACTAAATTTCAGTTTTGGAATAGATTCAGATTTAGCCAGGTGTGGTGGTGCACACCTGTAATCTTGGTACTTGGGAGGCTGAGGCAGGAGGATTGCCATGAGTTCGAGGCCTTTCTGGGCTACACAGTGAGTTCAAATTCAGCCTGAACTACATAGCAAGACCCTGTCTCAAAAAACAAAAAAAAAATCTAGAATAAATTCAGATTTACAAAATTATTGTGAAGATAAAACAGAGTGCTCATATCCCCCATACTCAGGTTTTCCTATGAACATCGTATTTTATAGTAAGGTACATCTGTCACAATGAATCGATGTTGGTCCATTTTACTCAATAAAGTCTCTCCTCTTTCCTTCCTGTCTTCTTCGAGCAGACACGGACCTTCAGTAACTCTCTGACAGTGAGCTTGGTGTGCTCACCTCGTTCTGTGAAGGTGCCTTGAGCAGGGATCACAAGCTTCCAGGCAGGTGTGAGCTCACTGGCACCCTCCCTGCACTTCAGGGCTCCTCACATGGAGGCCACCTTTGATGCTGATGCCAGCCGCACCCGTGACATCTCTGTTGTGGACAAGAGAACAGGAAAGGGGAAGAAGACTGCTGTCGCAGAGACAAGGGCCACTTGGACAAGGAAGACAGTGAGCGTGCGGCTGGGGAAGCTGGAAGGCTTGGAGCCAGAGATGAGGAGTAGAGGAGCAGGCATCGAGCAGGAATTGCTTAAGTCATATTCATTCAACACGAAGCCAATAACGGAAGATGAGAAACTTCAACGCAAGAGCAGCAATGAGGAAAAACAGTCAATTTTCAGATTTTTACGGATAATATTGTTCTACTACATGCAACATATTGTTCTGACTGTACAAGCGCTAGGACCCAAATTCCATCCCCAGTACCAGAAAAACAAAACAAAACATATCGTTCTGAAATACACCTACATTGTGAAATGCCACATCTAGTTAACTAACATTTGATTACCTCGTGTGGTTGATCATTTGTCATCTCCTCTCTTGGCATTCTTCAAGAATGTAATATGAAATATTTAAAAAACCAATAGGAAATAGGGGGAATGAAAAGAATTAAGATATGGGCCGGGGATTTAGCTCAGTGGTTTCGCCGCCTGCTGTGCAAGCGCAAGGACCTGAGTTCAATCCCCAGTACCAAAAAAAAAAAAAGGAAAAGAATTAAGACGTGTTATGTATATGTACCAACTCTCCAAGAATAAATGCTGCCTACATGATACTCACTTAGTACTCACTTGGTACAGTCCTTGCCAGGCGTGCACAAAGCTTTGGATTTGGAATCCAGTTCCACAAAAACAAAATGAAAAGAAATTCACTTAAAATATAATGATATAAGTGGCTTAACAGTAAAACTGGAGAAAAATGTATTGTAAAACATCAAGCAAAAACAAGGAGCACTGGGCTGGGGATTTAGCTCAGTGGTTCCACCACCTGCCTCGGAAGTGCAAGGACCTGACTTCAATCCCCGGTACCAAAAAAAACACAAACAACAAAGAGCATTGTCTATAATAGATTAGAGCAGATTTCACAGCAAAGAAAATTGCAAGGAATAAAAGGGACATTATACAACAGTACAGGGGCCAATCCACCACAGAGACATAGAAATCTTAAATGGTATCGTAAATGCTCTGATACCATAAATGTTTATAATAGATTCCACCGGGCCTGTTAGCACATTCCTGTAATCCTATCACTAGGGAGGCTGAAGCAGGAGGATCACACTGAGTATGAGGCCAGCCTGGGCTACATAGTGAGTTCGAGACCAGCCTGAACTATACAGTGAGACCCTGTCACAACAACAACAACAAAAGCAGAATCCAAAATCCAAATATATGAAGCAAAAACCCCTAGAATAGGAGAGATATACTTGGAGAGTATCAACAATTGATAGACTAGCTGAACCTAAAATCTGCAAGGACAATAGAATAATTCAACAACTCCAACTAATCCATATTTGCAGAACACTTTAGCCAACACCAACACTTCTTTTCAAGCACCCATGGAACATTGGCCAAGATGACCTTATTAGGTCACCGATCCACCCTCACAAAGTTTGAGACAGATCTAAAACAATGCTGAGAAATAAATTCATAGCATGAGGTGTTTATATTAGAAACAAAATTTGAATCATTTAAGCTCTCACCATAAGAAACTAGAAAAATAAGAGCAAGTAGACCAAAGGAATTATTAAATATATGAGCATAGATCAATGAAATTGAGAACAGATACATAGTGAAAATTTAATAAAGCAAAAAGCTTATTCTTTAAAGAGATCAACAAAATTGACAAACCTCTAGCTAGCCCACTAAGAAAGAAAGAAAACAGACAAATCACCAGTATTAGGAATGAATCTACACTTCCACCAGCAGTTGAGAAGGGTTTCTTTTTCCCCCACAGCCCCTCCAGCATTTGTTATTGGCTGATTTCATGATAGCAGCCATTCTTTCTGGATTGAGATGGAATCTCAGAGTTGTTTTAATTTGCATCTCTCGAATGACCAGTGAGGTTGAACATTTTTTCATATATTTAGTTGCTCTTTCTACTTCTGCATCTGAAAAGTGTCTTTTCATTTCAGGTGCCCATCTTTGGATTGGGTCTTTAAATTTGGGGGATCTGATTTTTTAAAATTCTTTATTTATTCTAGATAGTAGTCCTACACCTCTTCTACCTTTACATATACCTCTTAGACATCACTTTTGTGTCTTTGACATCCATGTTTAACTCCATTTCCATAAATCTAGAGGAAAGGAACATGCCTCCACCCCAGACCCTGGCCAGGGGATGTGTTACAATCTCCCTAAGAAGGTTGAAGTCACACCCGGGGGGCCCCTGAATCCATGAGCAGGTGTCTCACCTCTGTCCAGAGAGAAAACAGCCCTTCCTATGTTGGGGCTGACAGCTGCTGACCCTCATTTTCTACCGCAGACCCCTAGACAGACCCCCAGGGAAACTGGTGGAAGGTTGACCTCTGGGAAGAATGCTCCCAATAAACAGTGGATCTGGACCTGCTTTTTTTAACACCATGATTCCCACAGAGAAGAGCAAGAACATGGGCTCTCTGGAAACAGTCTTCTGGGAGAGAGTGGCATTGCTTCTTGCCTAGTCTTCCTCTCCTGGAAATTAGATTCTCCCTATAATCTTGGAGCCTCCAAAGAAGAGGGACTGAAACATTTCAGGAAAGTCAGCACTTAGCACCTCCGGGTAGCTCAACAGCAGCTTCGTTTTGGGGTTTGTTTTTTGTTGTTGTTGTTTGTTTGTTTAGTACCAGGGATCAAACTCAGGACCTTGTGCTTTTGAGGCAGGCAGCGGAGCCACTGAGCTAAATCCCGGCAACAGCAGCTTCCTAAGAGCAGCCTTTTGACTGTTCCTAAAATCCTGTCTGAGCCACGGACTTCAGAGAAGAGAGCCATGTACTCATCCTCTCCTTTGTAAAGGATAAAGATTTATTTCTCTCCACTCCTTGTTTTACAAGGCAGCACTGGGAACCTGGGAGGGGAGGGAAGATGAGACACGAGGACAGACCTGGGGAGCCCTGGTCCCCAACGCCTCCTTTAACCTGCACAACAGCTCTGAGTTTGTGTCTCCCTCTGCCAAGGGAGCAGGATGTCTGAGACTGTTGGTTGGATAAGGTGTGCACACATAGAAAGACAAGCTATACTAATGCCCTGTTTAAAACTTTCTAATTGCCTGTGTTTCACTCAGAAAGAATCTAAACTCCTTACCATGCTCTCTAAGGCTGGGTGTGTGCTAGCACCTGCTGGCTCTCGGGTCCCATCTCTTCTCCTCTTCCTCTCCCAGCATCCCCTGAGAACACGGTGACCTCCTTTTTGTTCAGAACTCTAAACTTGTTCCCAGACATTTGTTTTCACACTTGATTTTCCCATCCTCTGACTCCTCCCGTCATCTGGGTCCCCATGAAGTCTTCTATGACCACTCAAGCCACAAAGACGCTCCCTGGACATTTCCTCCCATTGGCAGGCTTATTTCACATCACGTGACCCCATCTGACAGGAGCTCATTCACTTTACAGTTACGAAGGCAGGAAATGAATCTGTCTTGTCACTAGCTCTCTAGCTCCTAGGACAGTTCCTCGGACAGGATGTGCAGTTGCCCCTCTTGTCTATTGTTTACCATTTGTAGGTTTGGTTTCCCAGGCAAGGAAGGGTGAGTACAGTATACGAGATATTTTGAGAGAGAGAGATCATAATCACATAACTCTGTGTGTGTGTGCGCGCGCGCGCGCACTGGGGAACAAACCCAGGCCTTTACACATGCTAAGCACGTTCTACCAATGAGCTACATCCCCAGCATAACTTTTATGGGAGTATTTTGTTGTAATTTTCCTGTTTCATTAACAGTTATTATTGTTCATCTCTTCTGTGCTTAATTTAAAAGTTAAATCTTATCATAGGAATGTATGCATAGAGGAAAACAGTTTTGTTGGTTTTTTGGTACCTGCGATCGAACTCGGGTCCTTGTGCTTGTGCAGCAGGTGGTGAAACCACTGAGCTAAATCCCCGGCCCCTGAGGAAAACAGTTTTATAGGGTTTGGTACTCTCCATGGATTCAGGCATCTAGTGGGGGTTGTCTTGGATGTGCAGCCTGTGGAGAAGAGGAGACGACTGTTCTCAAGTATCTGATGAGAGAATGAAAGTGTGGAAGTGCAGTCCACACCTGGGCCTTGCTATAGATTCACTGTTGTGGCTTCTGCGCCCTCCCTCCTTGGAATCTTCTCAACACCCAGGTTGTGTCTGGTCATTCCCCAGCATGCAGGCCATGAGAATTAAAATTCCTGATTAGGCCTTCTCGTGTGTGACTTGATTTCTCCCTCACCCAAAGACAGTGACCTTCATTTTCTTTAGTGACAAAGGGACAAAGGAGGGTCTGATAGAGTTTAGCATCCATTTTTGGCCATTCCTGTCACCTGTGGGTACTGCAGTCACCTGTGGGAACCCTCCCCCTACGTAAGACAGGAATCAGGCTGAGGTTGGGAAAATGGCTTGATTCTCTCTCTTTCTCTTTCTCCACCCCCCCCCCGCCCCCGGGGATTGAACCCTAGGCCTTTGCTCTGAGGTGCATCCTCAACCTTTTTTCTGAGGCAGAGTCTCACAAAATCTAATCTTGTTACACTTGACTAGTTCATTGTGCTTTCAGTGGAGCAGCATAAAGAGACATCATGGGCCAGGGATTTAGCTCAGTGGTTTTGCCACCTGCTGCGCAAGCGCAAGGACCCGAGTTCAATCCCCGGTACCTAAACAAATAAAGAAAGAAAATAAACAGACACAGTCAAGGGGAACATGTATATTTAAAATTCCTCCCCCTCATTTTCTTCTTCAAATGAATCAGTCCCCACTTCTTCATAATCCTTCTCCAGGGCAGCCAGGTCCTCTCTGGCCTCAGAAAATTCTCCTTCTTCCATCCCTTCTCCAACATACCAATGCACAAAGGCCCGCTTGGCATACATTAGATCAAACTTGTGGTCAAGGCGGGCCCAGGCTTCTGCAATTGCAGTGGTGTTGCTCAGCATGCAGACAGCCCTCTGGACTTTGGCCAGATCCCCTCCTGGCACCACAGTGGGTGGCTGGTAATTGATGCCCACCTGGGGAACAAGGAAAAAGGGACAGCAACAGAAGAATATGCAAGTTAGCCAAAGGATAGCTCAAGACAGTATGTCTTGTTTTTTGGTGTCTGTTTGTTTGTTTTTGAGACAGGGTCTCCTTCTGTAATTCAGGCTGACCTTGAACTCACTATGTAGCCCAGGCTGGCCTCAAACTTGCAGCAATCCTCCTGCCTCAGCCTCCCGAGTGCTGGGATTACAGGCGTGCACCACCACACCAGTCCAGCGTGTCTTGGTAACAAAGGTGTAGTAGCAAGTCATGGCCATGGATGTGGGAGTGGGACAGCAAGACAGGGTGTGAAAAGAAGGAATCAGGAGATTGGAAAGGTGTGCAGGGAGGGCAGGGGGGTGCTGAAGAGAAAAGAAAGTGGGTAGGATTGGGTACAGTCAAATTCAAGGACAAAGGCTGGGGAATCTAAATGCTGAAGAGGAAAAGAAGAACAGGGCTGGTAACAGGGAGAAATGCTAGTGAAAAGTAGCAAGAACACCTATGAAAATGGAACTAGTACATGAGAGGCTTCCAGCATGTGTTTATCTCTAAAAGGGAAATACCTTGTCATTTAGAGACAAATCAATTTCTAGAACTGAAGTTATTATGAAGTTTATTCTTTCCCAGATTGTCATCTGAAGTTCCTCTTAGTTACATTGCAAATAAATTCAGGGAAATTTCTCTCCCATGGGTGAAGGGCTGTTTAAAAGGTCACAGGGATATTCCAGAGCAATAAATTTAAAAAATCCAAAAGATCCTTGGGGATGGGGATGGTGTTAATGTTAACCAGGCCCTGTGTCTCTCTGGAAAACAGGGCTTCTTGGAAAAGCAAGAGCTCAATTCAAGGACAGTTAAAGGTCTTGCCTTAACAAGCCAACTTCCCAATCCTGGTAGCAGGTCAGGGACCCACCTGCTAACCCCCACCCAAACTAACCATGGACCTACTGTCCTAGAAATCACTCTCCTCCCCACACAGATATCCCAAACCAAAGCCAACCCCAAGAATTGTAGGAAACTGAAAGCAGCCTAAGGTGACGAGCACACGATTCAGGGGAGGCTGAGACCCGGGGCGCCGCCCTAGACTGCCGCTCCTCCCCAGAGCAGCACGCCCTCAGGCCCATCTTCTTAAACTCACTGTTTCCCTCTCAGGGTTTCCTGCTGGGGGTGGGCGTGGCCGCAGGCCGTGCCGCCCAGGCCGGTGACCCTGAGTTTGGGAAGCCTTATCACGCCTCTGGGAAGCAAGTGGTGTCTTGGTGGCAGAGATGACACTGAGATGTGCAGAGGGCCAGAAGTGAGAAGGGAGAATTCAATGAGTAGAAAGCTCGCCGCATCGCATATTTTGCTGGACGTGGCCTGACCGGCATAAGGTTTGTGCGCAGAGCCGGAGCTTCTCCTTTCTGAACACTAAGGTCCCTTAATCTGAGTCAACTGTAGACCATCTCCCCTGGGAGAATGGCACAGTAGGGAGTTTAACAACCTACTCTCCCCTGGGGTGTGCATGCTGAAATGCAAGTAGAGAGTATAATACCACATTATTCTGGATGTGACTTTAGGCGGTCAGCTTACAATAAAGGAGAGAGAATGAGGGAGAATCCCCTTTCTGTCAACTTTCCCACCGTTCCTTTTTTCTCATTTATCCTACTAGCTTTTTGTTTTGTTTTGTTTTTTTGGTACCGGGGATCGAACTCGGGTCCTTGCGCTTGCGCAGCAAGCGGCGAAACCACTGAGCTAAATCCCCGGCCTGTTTTGTTTTGTTTTTTGAGACAGGGTTTCACTATGTAGCTCAGGCTGGCCTTGAACTCACTATGCAGTCCAGACTGACCTCGAACTCATGGCAATCTTTCTGCCTCAGCCTCCCGGGGGCTGGGATTACAGGCATGAGCCACCATGCCTGGCTCCTACTAGCTTTTTAAAATTTCTATTTGGGAAAGCAAAAAGAAACTTCATGTTTTTGAAGACCCTGACTGTTTTTGTAAGAATTATCAAAGCTGTCATGCAAAAATCGGTATGGTCTAGGAGAGAAAGATGCTGTATGTAGTAGTTAGGGATAGAGCAGGGAGAAGGGAGTGACATTCCTTTCTCCTCAGAGAACAGCTGCATCCCAGTTAATGGGAATGGAAAATGTCAGGGCCTCATGGCCAAAGTGATTTACTATCATATAATTGCCACAAAAATTATCTTATTGTTAACCCCAAATTGATTAAAATATAGTTAATTTTTCAAAATAAATTAAGAGAATACATCTTCTGTTAGAGGAAGGAATTATACCTGTCTAGCAACTTCAATAACTTGGTCAACTTTAAAATTAAAATGCACCCAGAAGTATAAAACATCCACTGAAACTAACTTTAGGCAAATTGAATTGAATCATAAACAACCACCTCCCAAGCGTTGATTCAGGTCCCTCAATAAAACAATTTTTAAAAAATTTGAAGATGGTCTACCAATTTAAAGTAGTACCAAACTCATTCATTTTCTAAAATGGCATAAACAGACAAAACTTCAACAGGACTTGTGTTTTGACCACAGCTAAATGAAGTTAATATTACCCGTAGTTTATATCCCTCACGCTGATTTCATTCTCTCCATTCTTAGTTCTCTCTCTCTCTCTCTCTCTCTCCTTCTCCAGTACTGGTGATTGCATCTAGACCCATCTCACCGAACTACATCTCCAGCCCTTTTTATTTTAGTATTTTTGAGACAGGGTCTCACTCAATTGCCAAGTTGCCCAGGCTGGCTGAACTCACAGTCTGACTGCCTCAGTCTCCCAGAGTGCTGGCATTGCAGGCCTGCAACCTACACCCAGACTCCCTCTGCTTGTGCAACGATCTTTCCTCATCAGCTCTCACCTTGAAGCCTGTGGGACACCAGTCAACAAACTGGATGGTCCTCTTGGTCTTGATGGCGGCAATAGCAACATTCACATCTTTGGGCACCACGTCCCCCCGGTACAGCATGCAGCAGGCCATGTATTTGCCATGTCTTGGATCACACTTCACCATCTGGCTGTTGGGCTCAAAGCAGGAGCTGGTGATCTCAGCCACCGAGAGCTGCTCGTGGTAGGCCTTCTCAGCAGATATGATGGGTGCATAGGTGACCAGTGGGAAGTGGATGCGGGGGTAGGGCACCAGGTTGGTCTGGAACTCAGTGAGGTCCACGTTGAGGGCTCCATCAAAGCGGAGGGAGGCCGTGATGGAGGACACGATCTGGCTGATGAGGCGGTTGAGGTTGGTGTAGGTGGGGCGCTCGATGTCCAGGTTTCGGCGGCAGATGTCATAGATGGCCTCATTGTCCACCATAAAAGCACAATCTGAGTGCTCCAGGGTGGTGTGGGTGGTCAGGATGGAGTTGTAGGGCTCCACCACTGCAGTGGAGACCTGGGGTGCTGGGTAGATAGCAAACTCCAGCTTGGACTTCTTGCCATAATCAAGGGAGAGGCGCTCCATCAGCAAAGACGTGAAGCCTGAGCCAGTGCCACCACCGAAACTGTGGAAGATCAGGAAGCCCTGCAAGCCAGAGCAAGCATCTGTCTGGGAAGAGCAGGAAATGGGAAGAAATCATGAAGACAAGTCTCTGAGAAGCCCCCAACAGGACAAAACCAGGCAACCCACTCAGTCTGCCCTACCCCATCCCTCAACATTTTTATGTGAGTGAAATCAAACATCCCTGAAGGAATAAGGAAACAAGAAAGGAATAGTTTTAATCTTGGGAACCTAAAATATGGGGCGGCCAACTGCACAAGTTCAAGGTATGCAAAGCTTTCAGCCGGGAGCTTGGTTAAACCAGGAGCTTCCGAGCCACAGTGGTCTGTCACTTTGCCCTTTGGGAGTCCCAACCTTACCCAGTACCCCTGTCCTTGTCATATGATTTTGTGAGAATTGCTCACCTGCACATCTCAGTCTAACCTTGGAAGGTGGCTCTGGGTACCGATTTCAGAAATGTAAATAGACTCAGGGAACCTGAGGGTTGGGTTTGTTTGTTTTTTTTAAATTCTACAATGACAAATTATAGCAGTGAGTATTGATGGGGTACAGTGGGATACTGTGATTTTTTCGTACATTGTAGAATGACCAAATCAAGCCAACCAACCCATCCTGAGTTTCCCAGTTATAAAAACTTGAGCAAGTTATTGAGCCTCTCTGAACTTCTTTTCCCACCTGCTTAAAGTGGGGAAAATAAAGCATTCTCATCTTAAAAGATTATTGTAATAATTAAATGATACCAAATAATGTTCTGAGAAAAGATCTGATATGTAATAAGCACTCAACGTTGGCTCCTATCAGAACCAAGAGATCCATAGAATTACAACACTGTCCCACTGGGAATGATTTATCATCATTTAATCCCACAGTTCTGAACTTTTGGGGCACCACAGATAGCTTTGAGACTAATGACCCGTATGACCCCTTCTAAACAGAAAAAGGGAACATATGAAAAAATTTGGCACTCTGAGCTCCCAGGAAAAGAACTCTTGATCAAGCCCACTTCTTCTTCATACAGGTAAAGAAATGGGAGTTTAAGCAGACAAAGTGACTTCATCTACAACTCAGAGTTTGTAGTCAAACCAACCTGGTTCAAATCCTAACTTTGCCACTCTGTAGCTGTGTGACCCGGTTTAAGTTACTGAACCACACTGGCCCTTGATTCCTCTATTTAGTACAGGATTAAATGAAAAAATGTACACATTTGGCATTTGTAATGGCATTTGTGAGGGATCAAATGTATCAGCAATCTCTTCCTCTCCTTTTCCAAGTTAAATGCTTTGTTATTCATGAAGCAAAGACCATAGCCTTCTTTATACCTGGGATCTCCTGATATTACATAGAGTATCAATAGGTATTAATAGTTAGGCCTCCATCTATAAGATAGTCCATGGTGTCCAGGTAAAGGAAGGGGCATCTTCCTTGAATGCTTCTTATAAAATGGAGTCTGAGGGCTGGGGATGTGTAGCTCAGTGGGGGAGCATGTGCTTAACATGCACAGGGCCCTGAGTTTAATCCTTATCCCCCAAACAAGCAAAACAACCAGAAATTCCCAAACCTTAATGATAGGTCTCCCACCACCTCAGCAGCTATTATGGATAGCAGCTGCCCTCTTCCTGTCTTGCCTTGCCCCCTCCCCTGTGTGATGTCAGGCTAAGATGGTTGCTCCCACCAAGAATAAACCCTTCTTCCCAGCATGCCCCTGTTCCTGCCTAGAGAGTAACCTAATACTTGCTCACCTCCTACCACCTAGTGACATCACCGGCTCCTCCATTTCCTAGTCACTACCTCCCTCAACCCCGCCTCAGCCCCTACAAACCCCACCCCAGTCTCCATAAAAGACTCCCCTGCCCCAGCCATATTGCTTTTGTCTCTCCTTTGTTCAGAGACAG